CTTTCTTTTATCACATAGTTCTGTTCAAATGTGTCACCAGAATTTCAGAGGGCCAGGAGCAAGTGCTAGTTTACTAAACTTGGGCAACATTTAATCTGCAACTAAACATGCAAAGAAGGAAGAAATAATTCCTCCAGAGACTCCTGAGTATAATTCATGCTTAAACAGTTACTGGACAGGAAAGGGAAAATACAGGAAAGAGAAACATTACATTAAATGTCAAAGAAAAACTTAAAAATCACAACTAAAAATAGACTACCCAGCAAGACCTGGAAAATATTATTCCTAGGATTTCAATTCTGGATTGAAATATAAGCAAAATATTTGGCTTGATAAAAAGTCACCATGCTGGAGTCTGCGGAGGAAGGCACAATTTTCCCCATACGCCAGGCACACAGTGAGGCTCGGGTACACCCCAACCCACACCCTTATTTACGTACACTCACATGAGAAGTCTATCTTTGTTAGCATGATTCTCTGGGTAACATCACTCCCCTCTGAGCCACTCTTTGGATACACTCATGCAAAATAATTTGTGCTTTCTAATGATAAGAGATGTAATCAGCAGTTATTTTGTGCCACAAAGAATTGATGCTACAAGCCAATTTTCACTATGATGCCTTTAATGTAGCACCTGCACCATTCATGTTTATAAATCAGGTAATTGTATATCTAACCACTTATGTGTATATGAAATTACTCCAATTTGCATATGCAAATCAATAATCTTATGTTTGTCAACTTTTGCTTTTATTATGCTCCCTCCCCCATTTTGTAAGTTCATAGGGATGTTATTTCTGAAACATTTCACTAAACTTCATAATTATTTTTCTCAAGTCATTTACGGATACTTCTAATATCTCCATCGGATAATAAAATATAGGGAAAATTAAAAAATTCTGTTATTTTTTGCTGATTCAATTATTACCACTTTACTTGTAGTGGTTGTTTCAAAACTATTTTAATTAATATTTTCTGCTCCCTTAAAAAACAAAACAGGGCTGGGGAGATGGCTCAGTGGAATAGCGCTTCCCTGCCAAGCACAGAGGCCTGAGTTCAATCCTCGGTTCTGAAAAACAAAAAAACCCAAACCAAACCAAAACAAAACAAAAAAAACCTCCCTACCCTCAAAAAGAAAACAACAATGGCAACAAAAAAATTACTTAATTATAATCCGGAGTCTCCAACTCTTACCAAGTTTTAAGTGCTAATACTGGGGAATGCATTTGACAGGCTAAAAATAATGGCTGATCTCATGTAATAGTTTTTAATCTCTGGGCAAAGATTTATACCTTATTCCTTATCCATTTTCTGCCAGTGTTATTCAAAGTACCCGAATCTCTATTCAAATGCTAATTTCCCCATTTTACTCTACATGGTAGAGAAAATTTAAATACCTTATTGAAAATGTTTTGAAAGATATGCAAAATTGTATTAAGGACTGCGTTAAAAATTTGCATTACATCTCAAATGTACAAAATTAACACAAAGAAAACCTTTAAATTTCTCCATTAATTTATGGGAAAATGAGTCAAAGGCAGAATTCATATTCTATTACTTGGCAATTAAATTTTGATGAATTTTTTTTAAATTCATTCTTTACTACTGGATTTAACTGAAAATATAAACCTATATCTTAAACAAAAGAAGTACAAAATCATTTTGAAATTTGTTATGCTTTAAATCTGAAATGCTCCTTCCAAGGGTCGGCCAAATAGCTCAGCGGATTAAAGCACCTGCAAGCAGGCACAGGGGCCAGGATTCAATCCCCAGGCCTGCTGTGCCAGTCCCATCCATGCTGCGCACTGAGACAGCGATTGAGACTAGCCATGGTGGTGTGCTCCTGTAATCCTAGCACTTGAGGCTGTAAACAGAAGAATCACTATGAGTCCAATCTAGTAGTAAGACCCTGAACACCGTGTTGTAGGGCACACCTATAATCCCAGCATTTGGGAGGCTAAAAACAGGAGGATCACTCTGAGTCCAATCTACATAGTGAGACCCTGTACACCCTGTAGATCCTGTACTAAATACATTTAAAAACAGAAGAGTGTGCCCCCTCTGCCCCACACAAGTCTCTGTGTTCAGAGGGGGGCTTCTGGAAGCTGCCTATATTATGGTAGCACTGTGCTTGTTAGTAGATTAAACCACTAAGGAGATAATAATCGAACATGGTGTTCAAAGATGGGGCCCAGCTGGGAGGCAGTTCAGTGGGGTGCGCCTGTGAGCATGTCTCCTGCTCTGGCTCTCCCTCTCTCTGCTCCCAGCTTTCAATGGCCCAGCATCTTTCTTCTGCTCTGCCTTTCCACCACACCTTTTCTGCCTTGGAGCCAGCGATGAGCTGCACCCTCTGAGACCATTAGTCAAAACAAACCTCTTCTAAATGCAGAGAAGTTATGAGAGGCAGGCAGACTGTCCAAGTGACTGATAAGAAAACATAAATAGTCACATTTAAAAGGGCATAAGTGGTTATTTTTGAACTTTTTTTCCTTTAATGTGTTCAGTACAGGGTCTACAGGGTCTCACTACACAGATCAGACTCATAGTGATTCTCCTGTCTTCAGCCTCCCAAGCGCTGGGATTACAGGTGCACACCATCACGCCCAGTCTCATTCACCATCTCAGTGTGCTCCGGGAGCAGGGCCAGCAAGGCACACTGGGGATCAAACCCCGGTCGCTGAGCTCTGCCTAGGCAGGTGCTTTAGTCCATTGAGCTATCTGACCGGCCCAATTTTTGAACTTTTTTAAGCTTTGAAAATAATATAGAGCTTCAGTAGTACAGCTTCAGATAATGAAAATGATTTTGAAGCTATTATTTTACATATTGGAAGTCCCTCTTCAATATAATTAAGTTGCAAATGAAATACAAATTTATTTTTTCTCATCCATCAATCTCCTTTGACATGCTAGAAAACAAATGAAAAGTAAAACCACAAAGAAAAAAAAAAGATGAACACTAGACAAGAGATGCCAATAAAATTTTAAAATATGGAAGCAAAAGGGCAAGTTGGAACTGATCTAGAACAGCAGAAAAAGCCACCAACAAAAGGACTGGAAGAGGTGCTTTGTAGATAAATTGAACAGGTGAACCGAGGCAGGGCTATACAGTGGTGTAGGTGTAGGTACAGTTGGTAAGAAGCAGAAAGCAAAGGATAATCTCTAACTCAAAATTTCTAATCCAAAGACTTGACACCTTCCTCTCTATTCTACACATGGTGTATCAACATACTGGCCCTTCCAGGTATGTGACTGGAGGTTCTGTTCCCTAGTGAAATGGAACTGGCAGGACTCATGATTTGGTGACAATAGCAGAGTGCGTAGCAGGAATAAGGCACATACTACTCCCCAAAGTGAAAGAGGAGACCAGTGAATCCAGGATGTAGTGGACTACACCAAAGAGAGAAAGAGAGAGACACATGGAAGACCTGTAGACTGAAGCAAATGAGCACAGGGCTCCAGAAATACAATCGACAGTTCTGTCAAAAGTAAGAAGATAAAAGCCGGGGCTATAGTTCAGTGGCATAGTGCCCATTTGGCAAGTGCAAAGTCCTGAGTTCCATTCCATTAATAAGATAGGTTATTGCATCAGGAGGTAGAGGCTCAGCCACACTTTTCCAGATACTACAGTCACAACTTATCAAAAGTAGACTGCTCAGAAGGTAGCACTATAAATTTGATTTACATCGTTACTACTTTACATTTGACCCTTTTATTCTACCTGCTTTTTCAACGCTTTTGGTTTTTCAAACAGGGTCTTACTGTGTTACTAAAATGGTCTTAAGCCTAAAGTCAAGTGATTCTTCTAGCCTCAGCCTTCTGCTCAGCTGGATCTCTAGGTGTACACCATCACACCTAGCTTCTTCTTAAAATTAGATCTATTTTAGCCAACACATAAAAACTGAACATATTAGCGTGATACCATGTGATGCTTCAAAACATGCATTCATTATATAATGTTTAAACACAGGTATCTCCTCAAACTTTAAAAATTTCTTTATAGTGAGACATTCAAATCCTTTCATTTGGAATTTTGAGATGCACAGTATATACCTATTATCTTTAATCAATAGATATTGTACCAAAGCATGAAAAAATAACTTATTTTTATGTGCAACTTGGTTCCCACTGATCAATCATTCCTCACCCATCCTCCCTACTCCTCCAGCCTCAGGTAATCCCTCTTTTGCTCTCTGTTTCTGTAAGACTATTTTATATTCCACACATGAGTGAGCCTATGCAACACTTGTTTTCCTGTGCCTGGGTTATTCTCTCTAACACAATGATCTCCAGCTCTACCCATGTTAATACTACCTGGTTTTTATTAATCAAGTAATTTATTTGCATTAAAAAGATAAAAATGATCAGATTGTTTTTTAAATTATATTAGATGGAAAAATGGATTTCATAAGTAATACTATCAAGCATTTTAACTATACAAAAATGAGTTAAATGTTAAATGTTGAGAATGGCATTTTTATAGTTTCAGGTATTTTCTACAATATGCCACTGGCTTCAACACCATTTTCAGTATATTTAATTCCTCAAAAATATAAATGCCTTATTCTGTAGGTTAAGCCACTAATAGTCAATAAAGACAGTAAAAGAAAACTGCAGCCATTTTTGTCTGCAGAAGTCTCACTTAGCAGCAACTTTCCCTTATTCTCTGGCATGCACATCAGGGCTCAGTCACACATTAACAGAACAGAATATAAATGAATAAATAAACGTGACAATAAAACTCCCTTTGATAACTTCTTTTATTTTCCTGCAGGAAAAAATAACCTGCTTCTTCTTTTCTCTTTCATTGTGGACTCATTTCCTTTTAATCAGTAATAGTGTTTGTAGAGTTCTTGGTGTACATGTGAAGATGACAAGATGACAACCAGGCACGGCGTCCTGCTGAGCACCAGTGTTCTATGGTGCTGACGCTGGATAAGCATCGAGTCACTTCAGGCCCACACTTCCGATTTCTACTCACACAGTGATGCACAAGCACTTACCTCAAGAACCAGCCACAGCTTATCTCCATTTATTTTATCCTTCTTAAAGTAAATCCCATAGAATTTGACCACATTAGGGTGGTCAGAAAGTGCTTTTAGAATGTTGTACTCTGCTTCAATCTCTTCATCAATATCCTAGTTTCAAAAACCATAAGAGAACCATGAGAAAAATATAAACATGCCAAATGGACACATGCAACTATCAAACATAGCATTTAATTTCATTGAAGCATAATCATAATAGCTTTTACTTTATTAGCACCATGCACTGAAATTTCTCTTTGCATTACAGATACAGAGATTGTGATTTTGGAGGCTAATCAAATGCATCTCAAATTATATTAATTGAACTGAATTTTAGAAGGAAAAAGAGCCATTTCTAATGCAACTGAATTTTGCTTCCATTTATATGAAAGTGCTGCTTTTGTTGTATTAGTACACTGGTTAAAATGCAAAAACATTGATTTCAAATAAAAACATTTAGGACTAGAAAGCTGGTTTATTTTTTCCCCTTTGGAATGCTTGATACTTGAAAGCTATAAAAAAAAGATCAGTCATACAAGCAATACATTCCACTCTTCAAAAAACTGAAAAAAGATGGCTAGGTAACGGATGCTCATTCACCAGAAGTAGAACGGGTTGCCTCTGTGTGTGTGTGTGTGTGTGTGTGTGTGTGTGTGTGTGTGTGTGTATGTTTTACTGGTGATTGACACTGGGGAACACTGGGATGCATCCACAGTCCTGTAGACTTTTTTCTATTTGAAAGTGTCTCACTTTGTTATACACACTGGCCTGCAACTTGTGATCCTTCTGCCTCAGCCTCCTGAGAAGCTGGAAATACAGATGTGTGCCAACACCAGCAGTTTGCTAGTGTAATGAAAATTTGAAAACTGGTCCCTTAGTCATGCTTCTAGAAAATCATATACATATGGAACAACTCAGAGAGTAATAAGAAATCTTTATTTCCCCAGTGCTGCTGTTAGTGACATTCAATGTCTGTTGTCTGACTGCAGAATTATGAAATCACATATATAATTTAGATGGGTTCTAGCGATGGAAGAATTAAAACTCAGAGAAGTTACAGTTCAGGATGTGTAGTATAAAATTCAGGTCTAAGCTCTAAACTTATCTTCTAAGCCTGCTCATTTAATGATTTTTTTCCCAGAGAAAATTAAAAACAAAATATGCATAACAGTAAGGCTTTTATTTTTAAAAACCATTCTTTATAAAATATGTGGATGTATTTAAATTTACTTGAGATTATAATCTACTAGTTATAAATCTCTTTCACGTGACTTGTGACATGATGAATGAATAATTCTTAGCAAAATGTGGTACTATGAGAATACAAACAGTGAAAAAACAAACTTAGTACTACACAGTAATTACTTTTCATTAAAAATAACAACAGAGCACATGATTTATAAGGACTGTAAGTAATGCACAAGTAAATTATGAAAAAGAAGAGCTACATATATTAATGCCATGGTGCTTCTCTGGCAAGAAGAAAGAAAATGATGGAACCTAACATTGGAATCAGTCTAAAGTCCTATTTCTTGTTGATAGAAGCCCAACTCTAACGGCAAAAGCAGAGGAAATAAAAAGGTGTAGGCACTTTGGTATGGCATAATTTGTGCCTCTCTTCCCTCTACTGAAATGCTAATATAAATATATTCCACATCAGGTAAGTCTGGACACAGTACTGCTCACTTTTTTCCCCCCACCAGAGTAGCTCATTTATTGCTTTAAAATGAGTCTCCTTTCCCTTCTTCACTGCTCAACATAAAAAGAGCACCCCTAAGATGAATAAAGGGGGGCTGGGGAGATGGCTCAGTAGAGTAAGCGCTTCCCTGGCAAGCGCAAGGGCCTGAGTTCAATGCCTGGTTAAAAAAAAAAAAAAGATGAATAAAGGAAGATGCATGGACCTCTCACAGAATCTGCGGCTAGTGGGTGAGCCACGATAAGGCCCCACAACTTGGATGTCCTTGTCGCACACGTTCCCTTCTTTCCCTCCTACCATGCTTCCACAAGTGCAAGGGTCTTGGAACTGGAGGAGTTGCTCCCAATAGAAGATTGGGAAGTGTATAGCTGCTGAGCCCATTTAGACTCTCATGTGCTGTGGGAGAACTAGGATCCCCCAGCAGCCTGAACATTTGGCCTAACTGCCAGCCCTCATTCATAGAGAAAAAAGGGGGTGGGGGTGACAGGTGTAGCTCAGTGGTTCATGCTTGCCTTGTATGACAAGGTCCCAGCTTCAATGGCATATGTCTGTCTGTCTGTCTGTCTGTCTGTCTGTCTGTCTGTCTGTCTCTCTCTCTCTCTGACACACACACACACACACACACACACACACACACACACACACACGTCAAAATCAGTCCCAGAAAATAGAATTTTCAATCTCCTCACGGTAGGAACAATAAGGAGAAGGCCTGGTGTTTTCCTTTGTCACAACCTCCCATGAAAGTTGGGCAGACTGGGCTGGACAGATAGCTCTGCAGACTAAGCACCTGCTCAGGCAAGCACAGGGACTGGAGTTCAATCCCCAGCACCACAAGCTCTGCTGAATCTGGCCCTGCCCCTGGGCTCAGTGAGCGGGCCCCTGAGCCCTGGAATGGTGATACATGACTTGTGATCCTAGAGCTAGGGAGGCTGAAAACAGGAGGATCACTGAGTCTGAGCTGCACAGTGAGACCCTGTACCAAATACATAAATAAAAACAAAACAAAACAAAAACAGAAAGTTGGGCAGACCATGACTGGAGCCTTACTAAAAGCACGAACTTCACAACTGATCAGGAAATTCAGTTCTTCACCATGAGAAAGCTCATGTTCTTGCACAACACCATCATTTGAGCTTTGGAAACAAATAAATCTGAAAATTAATTTCCTTCTCTTCAAGAAATTCAGTTTTTTGAAAAAACTCTTCACTTTAACTTATGAAAAAATTCTAACAGAAGCTGAAGTAAATGTGGGAAGGAAAAGAAATCTGGGTAAGATGACACTTATGGTTACTTCTGGACAATGTGTTTATATTTAAATTTTTTTAATTCCAAAGTAATATTGAATGAACTACTAAACTACTGAGACTTCCACTTATTTGATTATTCACATATTCATTTTTGTCAAGCGCTTACTGTGTCTTTATTATGCTTACAAAGCACATAAATTAAGAAAATCAAGCAGATGTTAACTTTTTTTCAAATTGCAACTTGTTTTAGAAAGACACTGTAATAAATGATTCAGTATAAGATGTTTACAAACTTCTAAACTGTTCAGTACAGATTAAAAATAAAGTTATTCAGGGAAAACCAGTGGCTTACGTGAACTGGATCCAGAATTTTGACTGCTGCTTTTTGGCCATTTTTCTTATTCAGTACTTTAAAAACTTTTCCATAAGTTCCTTTGCCAATTGTTTCAGTTATTTCCCATGTATCAGAAGGATCAGGAAAATGATCAAAGATGATTGTTTTTCCAGTTAATGGGAACATCTCACAGGTTTAAATCACTGGAGAGAAAAAGTACAGTGTCCGCTACATTTGATTATGGATATTAAATGGCATACATAAACTCATGGGAAATTATCTAACACTTTCATTGATATAATAGAAAATACACGACAGTAATTCTACTTTAGAGGCATAGAAAATTTAATTTTTTCCTTGCAAACAGATTAATATGAGTTTAATGATGCTTTATTAAGCAGGGCTTTATTTCCATGTAATATAGTCTCATTAATTGCTACTCTTTTCACATTAAAAGACATTTATGTTACTTTAATTTACTTCTTTAAACATACACATTACAATGAAGTAAAGAATCTTACAATAATCTCAGAGAAAATAAAATTCAATTTTTTCACATTTGCTAATCTTACACTTAGTAAGTGATAGTGCTTTATGTTAAAGCTCTGTGTAATAACCAATAGTGGATCCTTATACTGCTTTTAGGTTCAGATTTCCTTACTACATTCTACCAAGTCTCCAAAACATGGCCTCTGCTTAATTTCCAAGCCTCTGGCCCCACCACATTTTCTCTTACATCCTGACCAAGCTACTTTGGATCTATCCCACCATTTCTTTCTTGTTGGAGGACTTAATATATATGCCACTCTCCCCCATACAAAGAAGTATTTCTATTAGTAGGTTATGCATTAACATTCCATAGTATCAAACAACGGCACTTACTCATGTGACACCCTAACAACTTTTAACCTCATTACAGCACCAACCACTCAAGTCCCCACTTGATTTAAGTTCAGCCCTCTTCAGTCTTCACTCCCAATTCATTTTCCTTTCCCCAGAATTGATCTTACAACTTGTATTACTGCAATTGTTCTTCTTTCTCTCTTTCTTCACCACAATCTTCTAGGGAAAAGTCTTGTTAAACTCTGCATCTTCCTCACACCTATGCATGCAGATGGAAGACACCCATGCAACTGTGGTGACTACCAAGTCACATGTGGACCTTCAACACTGCCTAGAGATTCTACTGCACTTCCTAGGTTGGCCTTCCCTTCACCTTCCCATTCTGGAGAGGGGTTGGCCTCCCTCATGGGAGTTACTCTTTGAAGCTTTTCTCCTAAAAGTTTTCTTCTTTGCTGATCATCTCTTCCAATAAAACTTCACAGCTGAAGCTCCAATTTTATTATTAGCTGATAAAAGGATATAATAAATTTCTTAATCATCTCACTTCAAAAGCTACAAAGCAAGGTGCAGTAACACAGCGATTCCATTCCTATCCCTGGTAATTGCCACCGGACCTCATTTAGTCCTTTTTCTTTGGTTCCTCTTTCATATCATTTGATTTGAGCTCAAATATGACTTACTCAGGCTCCTCACCAACCTTCATGAAGTTAGTCTTCCGATATATTCTGTTATTCTTCCATGTTTATGTAGTCTGCAAGTGGGCAGACTTGTTATTACTATTACTGTATCCACAATTCTTAGATTATTGCTAGCATATGGTAAGCTATCAGAAAATACTAGTTAAATGAGTATATGTTTGTTTATTGTTAATTCTGATAACAGAGACCTTATCTTTCATCTTTAGTTCCAAATCTCTGTTTATCTGTGCATGGAACATTGATGTTGAATAAATGAATATGCACAGTTCTTCAAATGAGGTTTTTTTTTTTAAGTAAAGGAGAGAAATACAGATTATAGAGAACTGAAAGGAATCTGGAAATCTAAAGCAAACTAAGGATCATATTGTGATGAATTATACTTAAGGGGCATCATTTAGTAAATGGCTATGAATGTCTTCTAAAAATTACATCGGTACATAAAGAGACACTTCTGAATGGTTCCTGGAACATGTACTGTTTATGAAATTGGTGCCTTTGAAACAAAGTGCAAAGAGGTAATCAGTAATAATCATCTTCTTTAATGAGTTCATAACCAGCAACAAAATAAGTACTTCTCACATCTATCTGCCTGTCTCATTCAAATGAGCTTTTATGTCACCCATATAATACAATTTTAGACAAAAAGACCAATTATACCTTATTAAATGTCTGAAACAGAAGTTTTCAACCAGGAGAAACATTCATTACATGAAATGCTGCCTTTCAAGCAGTAATGTCATTGAACTCAAGTCTTATTTCTCAGATATTACCTATTAGAAATTAACTATTTCTTTTTCAATTTACAAGCATTAAACATCAAAGGTGTGCAAAGAATTTTAATAACCTTGGGGAATAGAAAGCTAAGCCACGCATTGATAGGTTAATAAATATATAACCATAACATATTATGAAAAGCAATGATGGAAATATGCATAGAGTGGTACAGCAAACCAGGTGAGGATGTACAGTGGTCCCTCTCTTAGCACGGAGGCTGCATTCCACATCTCCCCCATGGTAAGTGAAAATCAGCCAAGTAGCAACGGGATATTTATTTTAGTGTTTATATATATTTTAAGGCTTTATAAACCCTTCTTATAAATCTTTCCTATCCTTTTCAAAACACCTAATGTTCTTAACCATTTTCTAAACTCATAAACCTATGTAATATTAACATAAGTATACTGTACAATATTGCAAAATCCTACAATGTAACAAAAAATCCAAATAAATAATTTAGATTATATTTTTTGAACACCCACGAAGCAGTGACTGTGTGAAAGTCAAACCGAGAAATAGCAAGGCACTACCATAATTCTGAAGCATTCAGGTAAAGATTCGGAAACTAAACAATATATATATTGTTGGGGAATAGAACAATCAGCTGGACAAAAAAAATGTAATTTTTTAACAACATTTAATTAGACAAAAATTTAAAGTAGTGCACCACTGTTATAAAACATTATAGAACAATGACCATAGAAATATAGAAGCACAGACAACAGAATATACCTAATCAAATCTCATTTAAAACAAAACCAACTCTCAACAAGTTAGTAAAATGAAGCTATCTAAAATACCTTCTTCAAAAAAAATAAAAAAATAAAATACCTTCTTCAGAATCATACATTAAAAGGAACGCTAGCAGATTAGAAAGAAGTCTTCTGAACTATATTTTTTCTACCACTAAACTATATATTTCTTCAGATTAAAATATCAGTTAGTAAAGAACTAATTATCTAATGACCAGGTGTTTTGTCAAATCCTTAGCAGTAGTAAACAAATAATTCTCTACCCATACAATTAAAAACATGTAATTAAGTTCTTAATTATATGATCTATAAACCAACAAATATATATACACACACACATACACATATATAATATATATAAAATCTATTTTTGATTTATCTGTTAACCTTACATTTTAAAATGTAATTGCACAGTTATATTTTAAAAATTCAGACTTACATTTTTTAATTGATTTGTTATATATTGAGATTTGAGATTTTTTTTCAAAATTTTATTGATAAACAGATAGCAATGAGACAGTTTCAAATCAAATCGGAGGTACAGATTCAACAAATAACACACTGCATATATTCTT